GTGGAACAACGTCTGAATAGCACAAAATACCAAAGTATCGTTGCTGATCAAGTTCATCCTATCATGTTGATGGCGTATCCCAATGGAGATGGCTTCTTCCAACAAGACAATGCGCCATGCCACGGTGCTCGTATTGTGCAGGAGTGGTTTCAAGAACATGAGGGAGAATTTACCTTGCTTAGGTGGCCCCCGCAATCACCAGATCTCAATCCAATTGAGCATTTGTGGGATGAAGTTGAAAGAGCCATCAGGCAGCTGGTTCCACAACCATCACATCTCACAGAAGTGGACAGTGCTATTCATCAGGCATGGTGTCAGATTCCTCGCATCACCTTTCAACATCTCGTGGAGTCAATGCCAAGAAGACTCGCCGCAGGATTGAAGGCAAAAGGTGGCCCAACGAAGTACTGATGGGGTGGTCATAATAATCTGGCCACTCAGTGTATATCTTAAAAGTGTCAGCTGTCCCTGCTCCTTATTTGTTTAATAAGCACTCATCACCAGATGTTTTCACTGAAGGGAAGGTCCGTTCTGTGTGTTCACGGGGGGAGGAGAGGGGAGAAGCCATAAATCTTGACTACACACAGAACGGACCTTCCCTTTGATTAAGAGTGAACACTTCTGGGTACGTCTGGTGATGAGTGCATTATTAAACAAATAAGGAGCACGGACAGCTGACACTTTAAGATATATAACCAAAAGGAAACTGTTTCATTAAGTGGAAAAGGAGCAGACACTTGTAACAATAGCCACAATGCTGTTGGATATTTTAAAATGCAATAGCAGGCTGGCTATTGCTCCCAGCCACAGCCTGCTGCATTTACATTTATGCCTCAGCAGCTGAATCCAGTGAAGTGGAAAGGTGACACAAGGGGTCTAAAAGACCCCTAATGTCACCTTAAAGAGAACTGCCCTAAAATCATTAGTCTGTATTGTTTTAGAAAAAATGTTGAATGTTCCTTTAAGAGGTAAAAAGTATTGGTAATTGGTATCAGCAAGTACATGAGGGACAAATCTAAATATAATTATTTGTTATCTTGGAGTTCAACTTTGAAATTCTACCTTTGCTGCCCTGCCACTCTTTCCTCACCATTGGTACTTTACTATAATAGGTGGAATCACTGGCCAATATGGAGACAATATTGGGGGTCAAGAGCAATTTGTACAGTAGAAGTCAAATATATCAGAGGAAAAACTAGGCTTGACCCACAGGAGACACCACACACTGTTTCAAGTGTATATCAGAGTTTGTCTCACTTTGTTATGGAAGGTAAAGTTTTGGCAGTTAAATTACATGGGGTGAGCTTAATGGTGGAGGGCCATGTACCATAGCGCCTAATTCCAAGTTCCGTTGCAATCCCCCCCCGTCCATCTACACATTCCTGTGAATGATGTCATTGCGTCCGAGTCAAGCACTCCCATCCTTTTGCCAGTCTCTATAGCACTGTCAACTTCTCCCCTCCTTAACAGAACCCTGAAAAAGAAGCTTACTTATATAAATCTTACCTCATTCCTGGTCAGCAATGGGTTTATGTCTACAAATGGTCTCAGCATGAGGTGCGCATATTCCAGGATGAGAGCTATGAAATAATGAAAGTTATTGTCAAGAGGGAGAGAGAACACAACACCCCTTGCACAATGCAGTATGTTTTCTGGAAGCTCACTTAAGCTGCCCACAGACAAAAGTCTTGTGATGGTTGTAAGGTAATTTAAAGAACTTACGATCTGCCTATCTTGGACAGGCAGAGCGTACTTGCGATGATCGCAAGCCCGCCCCGCTGAGGGGCGGGCTTCCGATGACCGCAATGCTTAACGGGCAGTGTGGGCTTGCGCACACCGGCCCATGCGGCATTTATCTTACAAACATGCCACACACCTGCCGACAGCAATCGTACGATTCTCGGCGGGTTTTCGAACATGTTCCTAAGATAAAAGTCGTGCGACCCTTACCTTCCCCTGGCAGCTCTCCCTCACTGTCCCCTTACCTTCCCCTGGCAGCTCTCCCTCACTGTCCCCTTACCTTCCCCTGGCAGCTCTCCCCCACTGCCCCTTACCTTCCTCTGGCAGCTGCCCCCTTACCTTCCCCTG